ACAATATTATATATGCCGACGAATACGACTGTTTATTATACTTATAATGAAGTACGCCGTGTATCAAGTGTGCGTTAAGAATGTAGTAATAATTAATTATATAAAAAGAAAAATTCGTGACATTTTGGTCTTTTCTCGACAAGTATATACACTAGTCTAGTCGTTATATATATATAGTCCTTTCACTCAACCGACGGCTTTGTGCTCCTTCGTTATTATCTCGACGGCGACACAGACAACATCGTTCGATCCCACTCCGTGTTCACGCTTTTTTTTCGGATGACCGTCGTATATTTTTAAGTCATTCGTTAAGAAAATATTAATATAATAAATAATATTTTTCTCCCGTGTATAATACTTTATGAATTTTTCCGTAAAATCGGTTATCCACGTGTCAAATAATTTGTTATGTGTACCCGGCCGCGCGGTTCGATAACGATGACAGTCCTCTGGTAAATTCCATCAGTTAATATACCGTAGTATAATGCCGTCATATATGTATTTTAGACTGGTAGACTATATTCTGTCAAGTCAATGTGGTTAATAATTTGATTGAAAAGTGTCACCTACAAGTGATTTCTTGGGATTTCCATTTTCTTGGCACACTACAGTACTATGGTGGATATATAATTTGAGAAACAGTATATTTTATTATTAAATAGGTCACAGCACAGTCACATATAGATACTATTAATTATTATTATGATCATTGTATAAATTCTATAAACGCACAAATGCCCGTAGCTTTTTTTTTGTACTCTATTATTTCATGTACTGTTTATTAAATTGCAGTAAAATTACGTGAATAAATGTGACACAGCAATTACAAAAAGAATACAAATAATTGTGTCTAACGGAAATCTGTGTTTAATCATAAAAGCTGTGTAACAAACATCCCAATCATCGGTATAACAATGATATTGTGCAGTATTCTAACATCAAATATAACACTTATAACGGATTTAATAATAATTCGAAATTTCTCTTTTGTGAAGAATTAAAATGATTAAATGTGTGATTCATTGAACGAGTTTTGTCATCATTTTCTACACTTTGTTAGAACAATAAGAAGCTATTACTTGCTTTAAGTTATAAACTGTGTAAAAGTCTATGGCACGTAGTAATAATACAAATAATCTAATAAATATCAAGTGAAACTCTTTTTGTAAAAAAGGAAAATGCCTTGAGTTTTAATAATATATCTACAATATACATGTAGATGAATAACGTTTAGTGATTATGTTTGAAATTCTATAAGATCTTAATGCCTTCTTTTTTTTCATTATACGTAGAAAATTAACTGAATCATTTTTATTTGAAAAAAATGCTCTCTTTATTATGAACTCTTTCTAATGTAAATGAAAAACTTCAATATGATGATTAATTATTAATACATGTTTCAAACACTTTTGGAGGCATTTATAGAATACTACATTATGATGTAACCGCCATTGAATTATTATATGTCCTAAGCCCTTAACTAGAACAATAGCTAATGATGACCTGTAATTATTCGGTTCAGTGTCTTTCCCAACGCCGCTGTCAATTTAGATGCATGACTATGAAATGATTCTAAAACATTTGTCAATGTCGTCCTGAAATCATATACGAGGGAGCAGTAAATAATCTTAGAAAATTGGTGATTATCTATCTATTTATGACTAATGGAATAATTTAAAAATTGTAAATTAATTTAATAACACGTTTCAAAATATTATGAAATTTCTAATTAAAAAATTAATCAATGTGTTACTTAATTTTGTTTGGCAAGGTTTTATTAAAGATCAATTGACCCATTGTTTTGATCATGGGAACGAAAAGAGCGTAATCGAGAAAATAATAAAAATTTTATTTGACATAAGATTTTCAAAAGATAAATATAATCTTATTAATATTTATGCAATTTTATAAGAATACTATTAGTGTTGAACTTGCTTGGAAACTGATTTTATTGTCTTGTCTTGTAATTTAATAAAAAATGATATCTACTATTTCTTCGCATAAGTATATAAGTAGTATATAAGTGTGTATACACACAAGACTTAATCATATATATACACCCACGACATCTTTGAACTAGCATAAAATAAATTGTATAATTATTATAATTTTTAGTTGATACTTTAAACTAGATAAAAAAAAACCAAATACTAAAACAATAGAAGCATATAAAAGTGATCAACGATATTTTGGCATTTTGTGACTACATCGTATTATATCATGTAGGATTTTTATAACTACGTCCGAGCGAAAGGTTAATTTTGCAATTTCACAGGCCACGGCACCCGAGGCTAATGGCCACACAGATGCTTAGATAAATAAACATAACAATATTCGATTAGCTGTGATTTCGTCAACAATAACCGGAGCGAATCGCCGTCGGCCAAACTAAATTATAATAACCCGCTAAAGTAACGTCCTCGGACAAAAAAGAATATAAATAAATACTAAAAGTTTTTTTGGATTTTCAGCAACACCGCCATCGAAATAAGTATCTGTACGTAAATAGGGTGTGCTGAGTGGTTGCGGTGTGACAAAATCCAATGAGTTCACGCATGTTGCACACCGCGGTCGTAAGGATTATCAAAAAAGGTCATACATCTTTGAAGCTTCTGACCTGATTGGATGACATTGGAAATAGCTCGACCCCACAACATGAACTAGACTAATTCAAGGATTATTTTGCGTTGAAATTTCTTACATTTTTGAGTGATGTATCAAGAAAAGAAAAATTAGCATGTGCACAATATAGTTTTGTAAATAAATAAACGCTGTACGCTAGTTACAAAATGGTAAAAAAGTATTAAATTTAGAGAAGCGTATTGATACAATATTAAAAACATACCCGTCTCACCTCACCGTACCTTTAACTATTCGTTTAACTCACGTAATAGAAATATTTTTGATTTTTGTTTTCTAGAAACGCGAATATATTAATTAAAGTATTAAATATGTTTACGAGTGATTCTACGTGATATTAAAATATTGAAGTAAATAGTGAAAGTTCAATTTTTAACCAGTGACTTCATCCATCTGTATATTTATTCGTGTACACATATATTCATTACAAAAAATGTGAAATATGACTGCTGGGCATAATGCGTTATCCATATATTTTAATAGTTAAAACGATAGCTCTTTCCTGTTATATCAACAATTCGAGTTTTTATTTTTAGTTTAGAAAACGTAAATTTGCATTTTTTAATAGTATAAATGATTATTTCTTTAAATTTTTATTACTTTTAAAATAGAGTTCGGATACCTATGATATGTTTTACGAATATTTTTACTTACATATTTTTATATCAAAAACGTAAATGTGATTGGATTTCTTTTTCTTTTGATAAACAGAAAATGTGTTTTTTTTTTTTTTAAGAAAAATAAAGTTGGATTTTTATTCCAAAAATATTCACATTTTGTGTGGAATTAAATGATCTCGTAAAATTAATTCATGTATGCATGTGCTATATTATTTTATAGACCGTTGTTTAAAAATACTTTCACAGTTATAACATAAAATTTAAAATTTCATGTTTTTTAACATCTAAATGATTTTTACGTAAATAATACAACATTTTACTGTAGTAAAAAATGATTAATGAATGTTAAAAATTATAATAAATCGTGAGAAAGTTTACATTTATAGTGTGTTCTTAGTATTGTATGGTTTTTATTTTCATTTAATTTATAGTATCATAGTATTTTAGCATCATACACTTACATATTAAAAATATAACCCTGTTACTTTTATTACTTATTATAATATTATATACATTTTTAAGTGCACGAGTTAAATTAATTAAAACCGAAATTAATGAAAATCTATTAAGTTAAAGAACTTTAGTTCTTTAAAAAATAGTAATTATTTAATTATTTCTCGACTACAATAGGAACTACATTTATAGTTTTGTTTTCTTACATATATTTCAAACCAGTTACGCCGAAAATAGATAAGCTGTGAAAGAAAAGATAATAGTTACATTACGAGTGTAATAGTATATGATATTGACATTCAATCAAAGTTACGCGAGCAATGGTAAAGCTGAGTTTCGATTTCTTATTATTTTATTTTTTCTAATTATATTTTACCGTTATAAAATAATTATATTTTTAAAATGCAAGTCGTTACATTTATGATCAAGTACAAATTTTTATTTTTATTATAATAATAAGCCATGGACTGATTTCGAATTTACCATATGACAGTATGAAATATACTTTTTTATAACAGAAGTTTCAAAATTATTCCTTCAATATTTGTTTGCTTAAAAATAATTTTTAACTGATATAAAATATTATATTATATAAATTTCATACCGACAACTAATATCTATTCTAAGGCTTTGATTATTCCATCCGATTTGTATTCATACTATCCACTGAATATTAATTAAATCTAATACTTTTTAAACAAATCGTTAACTATTTATTAACTATTTTACGTTTTCAAAACGTAATTTTTTATAGACCCGTCAATCTTATTTCTCACTACGTAATGAAACTACAATCAACTCAAAACGATTATTAACACAAAAGTTCTATACTAATAAATATTGCACTCAGTAAAAATGTTTCAAAATGTAATAACCATTAGAATAAGACAAATAAGTCTTCTAAAAATATGCTATTTACATTATTTAACCACGACTATTTTGTTTAAAAATATAAATTAATATTTGATTATACATGAAAACATTAATTGTAAATGAAAAAAAAGAAAGGAAAATAAGTATGAAACACCAGTTGTACGTTAACATGAAACGACATACAAAAAACAAAAAAATGATTTATTTATTTGTTAATAAAGTTAATAAATATGATAAAATTTACTGTCAATGAGATCTGAAGTTTTACCAAATACTTAATCACAATTTTCCGTTTTTCAAAAGAAAAACGTAACACAACATATTTTCCGGATAAATGTTTTAATTTTAATTCATAATAAGAAAATAATAATGTTATTATTAACTCTGTATTTACAAGTTCAATGATTTGCCTACCTTAATTCGATGAGGCGCTGGCAGTCGTTGAAGTAGAAAAAAAATCGGAACACTACTCACGCGTCTTGCTTACCAACGTTCGGCGCGCGCGTCGTAACCTAACCACTACACCAGTCAGAAATGAATGAACCTCTTGGGATTCGCGATTCTGCTCATATAATAACAGTTTTGTGAAAGTACCAAGGTGATTACAACGCCGTTTTGGTGGTGTGTTTTTTTTTCTTATCTTGCAGGGTCAGCTGCTCGGTTCTTGGTTTGATTTTTGGTGTACAATTTTTTTTCCCCGTAGAGGTCCTACACAACTATGTGGTTTACTACATTCAACTCGACACACCTTGTCCTCTTGACATCATAATATTACAGGTATCGTGCGCGTGCGTGTACTTACGCGTACACATAATATGTAACATTTATAACAAAACGTATGTACAACGAGTTTTTTTAGTACTGTTTTATCAGCGGAACTTTTTCAACCCGCAGTTCATACATTTCGAGATAGTAGTTAATACAATTATAAATATTGACTAGGAAAAATAAAAAAAAAATTATTATTATTATAAATACTTATATCCGATAGTAAAAGCAGCAAAAAATAAACACACATAGTTAACTAGACAAGCAAGGTGTTGCCTTTAGAACATGATGATGATGATATCCGATAAATAAATCAAAAAATATACGTAAAATATTGATAGTATAAGATTTTTTTATTTTAACTATACTGTTGATGTTTTTTATTTTATTATTTTTTATTTGAAATCGATGTTATTAAAATGTAATTCACGTCTTTGCCATTAACAGCTCCGATAAATCAAATGTGGTATAAATTTAAATAATTTTAAAACACTAATTTGATATCATAATAGAAAATAATTGGAAAAAAAAATAACAATAGATATTTTTCAGTGGTTTTCTTTTTTGTATAGGATTAAATATCCTATTCCTATACTTGTAACTAGAGCTCGGATTTCAATGCAATTGCATCTTTTTTTTTAAATTTCTTACGCGATGTACTTTCCAAGCTACAAATGTATTTCAAGTACTCTGTGTTGTAACTACAAATTTTTTTTGGGACATTTTTAATTTTTTGATGCATTTTTTAATTTTTTAATACATTTTTAACCTATTTGTCGTATTAAGACTAAAACAATTGACTTCTTGAAATATAATTATAGTATTAAAATTAATCAATTAATTAATTACCATTAACAGAGTCTATAAATATTGTATATACTATTAGTCAAAATTAATTTTCTACAATTTTTTTTATACTCGTATTTTACATATAATTTTATATACAAATTTATAATTTCACATGTTAAACAAACATTTTATTTTTCTGAATTTTTAAAATCATTAACACAAAAATAAAATGATTTAATGTAAAGTTATGTTTAAAATTATATTTTGAAAGGACAAAATTTTAAATATTTTTAAGGAATTTTTTTAGACTTTTTAGGTCATAATTGCATTTTTTTATTTATTTAGGACATTTAAATTTAATCCCTACTTATATCCATGGTTGATAACCCATAAATTTTAAGTTAATGCAACAATTTAATAATAATTATCAATTTGTAGTAAAAAATTTTGTATTGAACCTAAACACTATAACATATACACTCGATATGTTATTCACCTCGAATTATACAAAAAATAATTTACTACCACCATATAATTTAAAAATTTGTCGTTAACCAGCTACTTAGTGCGTGTTAGAACTAGTTTAATTACAAATATGTCCTTGATCGTACACTTGAAGAACTTTATTCAAACATTATTGGAAATTTATTCAGAGGTTTCTATAGCTAACGAGAACACTGATAATAAATTAATAAAAATAATAAATTAACAATCAATTTTTTTTTTTTTTAAAACTTAAAAACTTTTTGTGAGATACTTAATTATTTATTTTTAAATGTTCTAATAAAATAAAAAGATATTTAATAATAATATAAATATTACATATTTTACTATATAATAGAAAAAAAGTATTGCAAGGTTGATCGAGTAAATTATTAATTTTAACTAGTTCAATCAAGTATATTACAATAATTAAAAATTAATTAATTCTTCAAAAAATTAGATTAAATATAAAATTATTAACTTTTATTTTAGTTGTGTATTTATTTATTGACAAAAATATATATTAATAATAATTTATCGGGAAGTAATTATTTGAATCGTTTTTATAAAATAATTTACGAGTTCATGACAATTTTATAAATAGATTTTTTTTAAAAAATATTATGAAAACAAATCATTGGACTGTAATAAAAAGTGTATAAAAAATATACAAATTTATTAGATCTATATATTAAATAGTTGAAATGACTTCAAATTTTAATTTCACTTTAATTCGTCGACTCGTCAATGATCGACCTCGAAATATCGAATACATAGCATTTAATTTATGCACTATTTTCAGGGGTAAATAACAGACACATGTATGTGGTATTATAAATGTGGATCAGTAGTATAAAACGTTTCCAGTGCTGTGTTGTGAGGAGGGAGGTAGAGGAAACGATAGAAATATATAGGGTCATTTAAAATATATTACGTATAAGAGACATCATATTCGGGCGTTACGTAAGACGGATTTTTTTTTTTTTATGACACCGTCAAAATAATATTATTCAACTCCGTACTGTTTACGGCAATTTTATAGTGGCATACCTGACCGGAGGACATATAAAGTCGGATACATTATATTTTGATTCGTATATTTTATCTACATATAATAAGAACGTCACCGCAAAGTGCACAACAAAAATAAACGTGTTATTTTCGTTTTATTATACGATTGAAATATTATCGTATTATGTACACATACTCGTGATTGTGATAATAGCTGTCCTGTGAGTCTCTTGGGCCGACTGTAACGTTTCGTATGTAACCATATAGAGGGGTAAGATTATCATCACACTCGACTTCGTCACTCAATAAAATCAACATATCTACCGCTGTCCATCTATTCCTCTAACCACCCATGGACACGTGACTTGACGTTAAATACTGATGTTTAGTATGCACATAACAGTATTATCGCTTGCATCCTTTCCGAGTGTACAGACGCATCTTGATAAAATTCAAGTTGGATTCGTTTTTCTTGAAGAGTTTATCGTAAATAGCAATCGTCTAGGACAGCATAAAGAGAGTTAGAGACCAACACTTTCGTTCTTTTCTTATAGGTAGCACAAAACCATATTCTCAGTATACGCGCGTTGGCGTGGTTACACTCACTCGCGGTAAACCGTGCGCGTATAATTTAATAATTGTTTACCGACTTAATTTATTGATTGTGTACATAACGTATACACTTCGATTATTATTATTATTTTTTTAATAAATATATTACTCGTATATCGAATTCCCATGGATTTGAAAAAAATTACCCCGTTTTGTGCTTTCTATTAATACATAAATTCGTCGGTCCGTTTTCCAATATATGTATCGTGCGATATATGATGTAACCTTGAGCACAAACAATTTGCATTTTAGAAATATAACCTGGCAATAATGATTATTAGTTATAATTGTTATAAGCCGCCATAACTGTATAGACCGGATTTTTAAGATCACCATAATGGGATGAGGCTGCAGGATTATCGTGATGACTGCATTATTTACGAGTTCATGTCCGTGTATTTTCATTACTGGATTCTAATTCCCCTATTCCCTCGTAATCCTCCCACTCTGTTACATTCATAACTTAACCCAATAATTATATATCTTGTCTTCCTATTGTACGCGATGTTTAAAATTCACAAAAAAAAAAACTACTTTCAGATATTTATATACCTACGTTTGGATGTTTCCGGTCAATCAAGTTATACATTCTCATTAATGAACTGGAAACTTTAACGGTAGTGAAATTTATATTGTTTTATTTGTATGCATACTATTCAATTACAACTACTTTCAATAAATGTTATACTATATTAGGTGGTGACTAATATGAATAGGTTCTCGGGCCGCAAGTTGGCCACCCCCATACTATACATACCCCGTAGAATAAAATCTCAAATTAAAAATAAATCAAGTCATAAATAAAATGATAAACCTTTAATATTTTATCAAATATTTTACGTATATACTTCTAAATTATCCTTAATTAGATAACATTTGTTTTAGATTTAAAAATATTCGTAAATTAAAATAAATATATATTTTATGATATGCGGTAGTATATGCGATCTAGACCATTCCTTTAGATTAACCCATATTATATCATTAATTTTGTTGAAGGTACTAAGCAATAATTACAATTAAAAAAATAAGGTATTTATTATTTCTTTAGTATAAGTGTGTTTTTACTGCTTTTAAAACATACGATTTTCTTTTCAAAGTGGTAAATAATAGCTCAATTATTGATTTCCGCTATCCAACATAATTTTGTTCAAAATATGCGATAATATATGCATATTATAACTTATAATTACCATAATATCAATAGATACATGTCAAATACATCGTTTCGCTCGGAATATAACAATATAAGATAAAAAAAGTTCAAAACCATTATTTGTTATTATCACATGTTCGTTAGCATGACATGCAGAATTAAATAAAAGAAACATTTTTTTGTTCATCATCTATATATTATAAAACAACAATATAAAATGTTACGTATTATATATTAACATTTGTGTATGGCTGTAGTACTTACAGAGTGCCGGTGCAGAGTGTGGTGATGTGAATAAAGTAAAATGTACGCACGTGCGTATAAATTGAAGTAGTTTTAAATTTGGAATTACAATGAATCGTGGTATTTATCATACTTCTGAAGTGGACATATCAATGTCTATTTGTATGTAAAAAAAAAAATTACACGGTAAGTGGATGAGTAGTTGAAGTGAAAATATGGGTCCTGATATAAAATAGTTGGGGCTTGCAAGACGGTGGCGACCACCGATCGCGACGATCGTATGCTGTATAAGTATTAAAAATTTAGACCTTACAATAAATTATTCTTAATAATAATAAATATAATACTCAAATACAATGTATTATCAGTTATCTTGTATTTTTAATTTTTAATTTTTATTATTTTTTTTTTATATTTGCTTTTAAATATCGTCTTTACCTTAATTTATTTTTTGTAATTTAATGTCATGATACTAAAAATGTGGAT